TTCTTCTTTTTCTTCTTTTCCTTTCCTTTCCTTCTTTTCCTTTCCTTCCTTCCTTTCCTTCTTTTCCTTCTTTTCCTTTCCCTTTCTTCTTTTCCTTTCCTTTCCTTTCCTTCCCTTCTTTTCCTTCTTTTCCTTTCCTTTTCTTCTTTTTCTTCTTTTCCTTTCCTATTCTTGGCAGGACTAGACTTCCTGTCTCTGGAACTTCTCTGGAGTTTTTTTTCCCCCTCCTTTGCTGGTACTTTGCTTGTGTGGAGTGAGTGACCATTCAAAGTTACAGTGGCACTGAAAAAAGTGACTTATGACCATTTTTCACACTTACGACTGTTGCAGCATCCCCACAGTCACGAGAGGCTAGGCGAGGAGATGTGTGCCTCGATGTGAGTGATATTGAGTTGGCCACACCCAGCCAATAACATGACCACCAAGCCACAACCACCAACCAACCCACGCCCACAGAACCAGTTGTTAAAAAAATTTGAATCCCAACCCTGGGTGTAGGAGTGCTTTTCAAACCCAGATATTTCAGGTCGTCTGGACTTCCAACTCCCAGAAGCTGCCAACCAACATGGCTACTGACTGGGGAATTCTGGGAGTTAAAGTCCGCATGTCTTAAAGTTGCCAAATATGCAAAACGCGGATATATTCCACTTCTATCTGCCTCCATGCACCCGGCTGAGGAATTCTGGGAGTTGAAGTCCACAGTTGAAGTTGCCAAAGTTGGGGAGCCCTGCTTTAAAGCATTTTAACCAATAAAACCCGAAGCAAAACTTTCCTTCTTCCCCAGTAAGTGGGAGCAGGTGTGCAGGCCCAGATGGTGGTAATTCAGTAGCTGCTTGAATGGCTTGGAACAAACAGCAAAGATTCATGCCTGCAGCAGGGCAGCCCGTGTGAAGGTTGTGCCACTTGGCTGTACATGTCTTGCTCAAAGGAAAGAGAGCAACTGGGTGTTTCTCCACCTCTCCACAGCGCCTTTTCAGCAAGCGGTTCCCGAGGCGGTGAAAGAAGTGGAAAAAGAAGTAGCACAACTCAAAGCGGGTAAGATGAGAGAGCTGCAGCTTCAGGAAGAGAGATTTCATGACACGTTGCTTGATGTTGGATGGGGGAATCTCTGATGCTCTCTGGTTGTTTCCCTGAAGACATTTCATTACCCAGCTAGGAAACATCAGCAGCACTGGGGTTGGATTCTCATCCTTAGTTTTACAAAGAGGCTGTTTGTTTCTGCCATTTTCCTATGCCACACACTCCCATCGATCAATCAATCAAGTCTTTTTTGAGATCATAGACCAGCATAGGAAGGGTGGAATATAAACAAACAGATGATAAAAAATAGAATGCACAAAAATGCATACAGAGAAAGGTAAAGGAGGGAGAGAGAGAAAAAAGAAAGAGAGAGAAAGAGAGAGGAGAAAGAGAGAGAGAAAGAGAAAGAAAGAAAGTGAGGGAGAGAGAGAGAGAAAAGTAAAGGAGAGAGAAAGAGAGAAAGAAAGAGAGAGAGAAAAAGAGAGAGGAGAAAGAGAAAGAAAGGGAGAGAGAGAGAGAGGGAGAGAAAGAACTGGATGCCTCTGGCTACTTCAACAGATGCTAGAGATCTGAGATTAGTTCAGACCTGCTGAATTCCATTCTGACTCGACTCCTTTTTCATGTTCACAACCTACATTGGCTCCTGACACAAACAAACCAGTTGGGTTCACCCAAATGCTAAATACGGGTGGTGTTGATGGGGAAACCAGCCGAGTTTAGCATCTTGTGCGAATGCAGCTGCTGGTTCTTTAGCTTGGTCAGCTAAACCTCTGGTGTGAATCCTAAGAGTATCTATCAATTGCTTCAAAGCTGGGTAGATGCTGACATAGTCATTATACCTAGCTTAGGAGTTTTCCTGAAGAATTTGCTGGATTATTATACCAATTAAGCTGGATTATTTAACTTTTAAACTTATAAAAATCAATTTCAGTTTGAGTCGAGGGAAACAATCTGCTTCCAGAGAACCTTTAAAAATGGTGGCAGCAAACTTTTTGGCTTGCTAAAGACTTTTGGCCCATCGTACAAAACAGGGGATCCAGCACATTATTCAATCTTTTGATTCAAGTTGTGGTCAAATGTCCAATCAGAAAAAGTTCACCTCAACTTCCCTCCTGTCTTTACAGCACCACCTTGCATTCCACCATGTGGTAAGTCCAAATATCTGGTATTTTTTTAACCCGCCTTCCTCAGTTCATATCACTGTCTCCCATCTTCCTCATTAACTCCTATTTCTATGTCAGAATAACAGAGTTTGAAGAGACCCCCTGCTTAGTCAGGAAACTCTATAGCATTTCAGATAAATGGTTGTTCAATCTCTTCTTAAAAACCTTCATTGTTGGAACATTTACAACTTCTGGAGGCAAGCAGTTCCACTGATTAATTGTTCTCATTGACAGGAAATTCCTCCTTAATTCTAGGTTGTTTCTCTCCTTGATTAGTTTCCATCCATTGCTTCTTGTCCTACCCCCGGCATGTGTGCCACAGGTGGCAATGCAGAACCATTTTGCTGGCACACGAGCTGCAGGCAAACTTACCTCACGGGGCATGCGCGCGCCTCACAGCAGATTTTTGGCTGGTTTGAGGCCTTTCTCAGCCTCCCAAAGGCGTGAGAAAGGTTTCTGCAGGCTTTGTAGGCCAAAAACTAGCCCCGTTCCGTCACTTCTTGTTTTTCTGAAAATACTGGAAGTGACAAAACGGGGCTAGTTTTCAGCCTGCAAAGCCTGCAGAAGCCTTCCTTTGGAAGGCCGAAAAAGGCCTCAAAAATCAGCTCAGAAAGGTGCGGAGCAGGTAAGGGGGTGGCGGGGGTGGGTGGGGATTATGTGCACATGCATAGGGGGCGTGGGAGGAAATGCATTGCCTTCTGTGTGCTGGCAAGTGAGTGCGAGCATGCAAGCAGGTGCACAATTTTTGGCACAGGAGCCCCAAAGGTTTAGTCACCACTGTCCTACCCTCTGGTGCTTTGGATAATAGTTTGACTCTCTCTTCTTTGTAGCAGCCCCTGAGATATTGGAACCCTGCTATCATGTCTCCCCTAGTCCTTCTTTTCATTACACTAGACACACCCAATTCCAGCAACCCTTTTTTATATGTTTTAGGCTCCAGTCCCCTAATCATCTTTGTTTAGTTTAGTTTATTGCCATTGCATCCTGTACAAGGAAATTAAATGCCATCTTTAAGTGTACATTATAACTATAAAAATAAAACACCAACACACATCGTTCACATTCTATACAATTGAATTGAAAACCCCTGACATTGCACGATTAATGCACTGTGGAGCATAATTCAGTATAATTACTGCCCCTGGGATAGAAGCTGTTTTTCAGCCTATTTGTCCTTGTTTTTATTATCCTGTACTGTCTGCCAGATGGTAATAGTTCAAAAAAAAAAAAAGGGTGCCTAGGATGAGATGGATCTTTAAGGATATTTTGAACTTTCTTAAGGCAGCAGGAGCTGTAAAGCTCTTCTCTGCACACTGTAGAGTGTCTCAGCAACTTTTTTTGCATCATGGCAACCAAAAATGGATGCAGGATTCCAAGTGCAGTCTTACCAAGGCATTATGTTCTCACAACCCCGTTTCATGTTCCTTGCAGGCTACCAGAAAGAAGCCCACTACTACAAATGTTCCTCTTGTTCCATCATGGATTGCCAGCTACCCATCGATTGCCCAAGTAAACCGTTCCTTTCTTTTTTAAACTAGAGATGTGCTACTGTAGCGTTTCCTGCCTAAGCAGGGGACCACTGGTGGTCCATGAGAAAATTTGGGTGGTGCGCAGAGAAATGTCACTCCCAAAGCAATTAATCCAGGCTGCAAAAGTCTTTCTTTCTCTCCCCCAAACTCCTCCAGAAATGAGTCTTTGGGACCCTGCTAGCCATCCTGCTCCAAGGGGCTATGCCGGCAAAGACTCATTTCTGACAGAGTTTGGGGGAGAGAAAGAAAGACTTCTGCTGCTTCTGCTGCTTTCCTTGCATGAAGCCAAAAGTCTCTCTCTCTCTCCCACTTCCCTCCCGAGAACAGAGCTGAAAAGAAGGTTAGGAATGTGGCTGCCTTGGAAGGGATGGGTGTGTGTGAGGGACCTTTTTTCTGTGTGTGAGTGTGTGTGTGTGAGAGAGAGAGAGAGAGAACTCTCTCCCTCCCTCCCTCCCTCCCTCTTTCCCACCAACATCAGCAAGCCACCGTCAGTCAAAATTCATATTAGTGGTGCATGGGATTTAAAGTTATGAGTTTGGTGGTCCCTGAGGTCCAAAAGGTTGGCGACCCCTGGACTAGAAGACTTCCGAGGTCACTTCCAATTCTGTTATTCTATTCTATTCTAAACTTAAACTAGAGATTTGCTAAAGAAGCCATGGGGGGGGGGAGGGCTGGGAAAGACCTCTGTCTGAAACCCCTCAGAACTTCAGGCAGTCCAGGGGCTCCAATTCACACAACATGCCCTTTGGCTTCCGAATTAAACCATCTTCTGAAGTTGTGCAGCGCAGTGAACTCTGAGCTAACAGATTGGCTTTGCGCCAAACTCTTAAGGTCCAAAGCTTTTAATACAGGAAGTCCTGGATTTACAACAGTTCATTTAGTGACCGTTCAAAGTTACAATGGGAAAAGCGACTTAAGACCGTTTTTCCCGCTTAATGACCACTGCACCATCCCCATGGTCACGCGATCAAACTTCAGACACTTGGCGACTGACTAATATTTATGACCATTGCAGTGTCCAGGGTCATGTGATCATGAGCCCTTCTGACAAGCAAAGTCAATAGGGAAGTCAGCTTCACTTAACAATGGTGTGACTTACTTAATGACTGCAATGATTCCCTTCACGAATGTGGCAAGAAAGGGGACAAAATCCACTTAGCAGGTGTTTCATTTAGCAACAGAAATGTTGAGCTCAATTGTAAGTCCAGGACTCTCTCCCTGCATGTTGTGTGGATGATGTCTGACCTGGGTAAATGCTTTGTGTGAATGCAGCTAATATAAACTAGGGGCAGGAGATCATTTGGTGGTAATAAATCACACATCTATATTATCTTCATGATTCTCCCAGTTCAGGATATACACAAATTGGAAGGCGACGCAACTTTTTTGAACTGCGAAGTTGCCTTCCAGACTTCTCCAGACAGGACTTTCCGGTGGAAATTTGTCAAAGATGTAAGTAACTCTTTGTGGATTGAGGTTCATCCCATGTGAAGCTGTAAGATTCAACAGGAGATAAAGTTCTTTAGATCTTTTGCTCTAAGGGGGAGTTTATCCTCCAGTAGCCCCCTGGGCCACACAACGGTCTTCTAGATTTTAAAACGTATTTATTATCTTTTGTCAACAAAAACAAAATGCAAAATTGACAGACAGAAAAACAAACATCCAATACTAACAACAAAAAGAAAAAAAAATCTTATGTACAAAAAAGAGAGAAAAAGAAATCAAATAATCTAACATTTAGCCTAAAAAATCTACCCCAGCTGGATGCTCACAAAATAATAAGATATCTAATATGTTCTCCTTCCCTTATGTAATGGATCTACAAACGTTCCCATCTGCATTTAGCAAAAATACTGTATTAAATAAACAAATATTTCAGATAGAATGGAACAGAATGGAGCAGAATAGAATAGAATTCTTTATTGGTCAAGTGTGATTGGACACACAAGGAATTTGTCTTGGTTCAAATGCTCTCAGTGTACATAAAAGAAAAGATACATTCATCAAGAGTCCAGAATCAGAAGGGACAACACTTAATGATAGTCATAGGGTACAATAAGCAATCAAATCATACTAAGAAACAGTCAGTAAAAATTATCAGGATACAAGCAACAAGGTTACAGTCATACAGTTGTGAGATGTGGAAATCTGTCTAATAATCAACTCAACTCAACATCTTAATCACAATATATATTGTATGTAAAAGAGAGAAAAAACAACAACAGCCAACAGGTTAGCTGAAATTATTACACTTCAAATCTCTTTGATAATCATCTGTAATTTTATTTAACGTTTAGAACGTCCACAAATGGATTCCGGTCTCTTATAAAGTTGTCTAATCTATTGTCTCTAATCAAGGTGTTGTAGAATGATAAATCAGGCGTTTATAGATTAATTAATAGGGGCACTAAACTGCATTACTCCATTTGAATAGAGGTAGTCCTTGACATACGACCACAAGTGAGCCCAATATTTCTGTTGCTAAGTGAGGCATTGACGTTTCTTGTCAGAAGGTTGCAAAAGGAGATCACTGTTCTGCCCCAAATCTAGTTCCAAGAAAGCAAACACAAGACAAAGGCAGCAGTATAATCTGTTTAAGTTTCAGCTAAGAATCCTGTTTCTTCACAGATAAAAAGCTGCTTCCAACCAATTAGCTCTGACAAAAAAAGAGCCTTGCCAAGTTTTTTCAAGTCTGACAAAAAACAACAGATAAGAAATAGTTTACAAGAGTCCTTTTATCTTCTTGAAGGAGGGGCCATTACCTTGCAGCCTTACTCCCGAATCGCCTGTGCTCCTTGTAACTGCTCTTTCCTATGAGCAATCCTTTGTGCCTGTGCACTTGGCACAGGCTCCTCGGGAACCTCCTCATCACTGCTGCCAGCCCCCATAATCTCTGAAGGCCATTCCCTCATGGTCCTGGCCCTTCATCTGAGTTCTCACTCTCCTCAGTCATCTGCACCTGCTGAGGCTAACCACAATAATCACATGATCCCAGGGATCCCAATGGTGATAAATGTGAGTCAATTGCCAAGCCTCTGAATTTCGATCATATGACCATGGGGATACTGCAATGGTTGTAAGTGTGAAAATCAGTCATAAGTTACTTTTTTCAGGGCAGTTGTAACTGTTGTAAGTCGAGGACTGCCCGTATAGGGGAAATACAATTTCCCTCAAATCTGTGTGTGCCAAGGAATGGTAACTATTTGCATTTTGTAAAACCCTATAATCCCTTGTAAACCACTTGAGAAGCTGCTGTAACTGAGAGAAGGGAATATTAGTAGCTCAGGGTTGAACTGCTTGGTCAGTCCTTGGTGTTCTCTGAGCTTGGAGGTTTTCTTGCAGACGTTTCATGACCAAACCAGGTATCCTAAGCGCACTGATGATGTTACCTAGTTTGGTAATGAAACGTTTGCAAGGAAACCTCCAAGCTGAGCACCAAGCATCCCCAAAGCCATGTGAAAGCGTGACCTTCCAGGACCTGAATCTCCACCTTCAATCCACAGCTCAGGACGGAGGAACTCTTCCTCTTCCAAGACCTTAATTTTGGAGTCAACCCTTCCCTCCTCATTCGACCCACCCTTGGATCTCACCACGGGACCTTTGCCTGCGAACTTGAAGAGGAGAGTGACGTGGTGATCAGGAAGTATTTTTATGTCAATGGTGAGGAGCCAAAGCTTCCAGCGGTACAGACTGAATGCTTCAAATCGGGGATGTCATATTTTAATAGGGAAGCTAATTGTTTGTCATTTCAATGTTGAGGCTCCAAACTCAATTTCTGAGCGGCTTATAATTAAGGGTTTCCCTCCTCCCAAACCTCCCCCTGCTATGAATTTATTTAATTTATAAATTTAATTTATTTAAGAAAATTCATACTGGTGTCCAACTCACTTTCAGTAACTCCAGGCAGCTTACAAGGTTAAAATCCCAATACAAAAAGCAAAACCAATACAAAAAGCTGGTGGCAACAATCAAACAAGCCACTTGATGGGTCCCATGCAGGGGTGGTCTTCAGCTGGTTCTGACCAGTTCTGGAGAACCTGTAGCGGAAATTTTGAGTAGTTCGGAGAACTGGCAAATCCCGCCTCTGACTGGCCCCGCCAACCCCATCTATTTTCTGCCTCCCAAGTCCCAGCTGATTGGCTGGGTCTTCTTTGGTTGCCCTGCACAGGAAAATGGATCTGGAAAGCAGGTTAGTGGGGTGGGGAGCAGAGGTGGTCTTCAGCAGGTCCTGACCAGTTCTGGAGAACCAGTAGCAGAAATTTTGAGTAGTTCGGAAAACTGGCAAATCCCGCCTCTGACTGGCCCCCGCCAACCCCATCTATTCTCTGCCTCCCATTGAGTCCCAGCTGATCGGCTAGGTCTCCTTTTGTTGCCCTGCACAGGAGAACGGAGCTGGAAAGCAGGTTAGTGGGGTGGAGAGGGAATGGGGATTTTGCAGTATATCCTTCCCCTGCCATGCCCAGCAAGCCACTTCACGCCTACCAAGCCACACCCACAGAACTGGTAGTAAAATTTTTTGAATCCCACCACTGATTCCACGTCATTCTGTGGTCTCCTCTTCCTTCAGAGCAGCTGTTCATAGCAGTGGGCTACCACCATCTGAAACACATCACTTTCCTTTTCCTTGGGGGGGGGGGCTCTCATTTTGATAACAGAACTTTAGAACGAGCTAAGGTTAACCCGACCTCTTAAATCACCTGAAAACCTGCAGAGATTCTCAGCCATCCAGGTCATGGTTGCCCCAAAGGTGCTTTTTTCAGGAGGCACCTGGACTTCCTTGTTTTTTTTTTCTTTGAAGACATTCCTCCGAGAAGCTTCTTCAACTCTGAATTGGATGGTGGGGAATGGAAAGATTTATACTTCTTGTAGAGAGCTAGTCATTTGCATTCTTTTTAAAGAGTCGTTGAGGCCACTTGGAGGTTTTGTCTCTGTTCTCAGGGGGGGCTCACCCAAGTAGTGGCAATGGGTGTGGGGCCTTCTTGGCTGCAGGATGTTTTCCGCCCTGGGTGCCTTCCCTGTTGAAGACCAGGCGCAGGCAGATATGTGATGGCCTTGCTGTGAGTGGCAGGCAGGCAGGCCAACTCTTTTGCTGTGTGTTTTGCAACGTCCCTTTTCTTATTGCAGTGACCGAAAAGAGGCTCGGAAAAGAGAAAAAGCTGCAAGAAATGTTTAAGGCCATCCTGAATTCCCCACCGGAGTTGGTACAGGAAGCCGTGGTGGTGAACAAGTTACCGTCTCTTCAAGATCTCCTGTCCCAGCCTGATTACCTCAGGAAAAGGGGTGTCATTGGGCTTATCCTTGGAATAACTGGGGTATCCCTGCTGGTTACTTTAGCCGTTCTGTAAGTAGTTTGCAGAGCCAATTTATGTGGTGGCTAAGACATTGGGCTAAAATATTTTTTTTTAAAAAAAATCACACAGCTGTTTTGGCATCGAAAGTGGGATGGAGAAGAAATCGAAGAATATTTATGATCTTGGGACACTGCAATGGTCACAAGTGTGAACCGTTAAGTTTCCAAGCACCTGAGATTTGATTGCAGGGACATGGAGTGTCTTACAAAGCTTGTAACCATGAAAAAAGGGCTATAAGTCACTTTTCGCCAGAGCTGTCATAACTTGGAACGGTCACTTAAATCAGGGGTCTCCAACCTTGGCAACTTTAAGGCTTGTGGACTTCAACTCCCAGAATTCCTCAGCCAGCTTTGCTGAAGTACACAAGCCTTAAAGTTGCCAAGGTTGGAGACCCCTGACTTAAATGAACTGTTATAAGTCGAGGACCCCCTATATTCTCTTAAAACAAGGTTGACCTTGGGCCAGTCTTTCTCTCTCAGCCCCAGGAAGCAGCCAATGGCAACCCACTTCCAAAATCTGGCCATGAAAACCCACAGGGACCTACCACACAGACACCACTGAACAGAAGGAAACATAAAGAGTATTTGCTGGAGTCCTTCTTGCCGCCACAGCTAAATTGCTCAGGGCGATCTTCCTTGTGTGCGTCTCCAGAAGGTCCTCCTGACCCAGTTTATCTCAGAGCTGATGAGAAAAGGGTGCTTTTTAATTCCAGCCCTACCATCCAATGAACCCTGGACTCTTCTTCCCTGTCCTTAGGATCAGGAGATTCTAAGGGAAGTCAGGGAAAATCAGGAGATTCAGAGGCACTTCGAAAGAGTAGGAAAGATTGATTGGGAGTTTAAGCTCTCTACAAGAATCTGAGCTACTAAAGGGTCAGGGGAAATCCGCTGGGGAGGAGAAAGGCATTCAGAGGTGGGATCTCTTTCCCCGCACTCAGAGAGACTCGTGTCTGAGGATGCTGTTTTCCACGCCTTTTCCTCCTCCGTGCGCCCCTGCCTCCGCTCACGGGACCAGCCAGGTTTGCAATACAATGCCCCCAAAAGAGGAACTCAAGAGGGCATCGACGCGTCCCCCTCAATTGCTCAATCGTGTAAAACAACCCGCGATTGCAAAGAAATCTTCACGATTTCCGAACTATGCAGTGTGAAAGAGCTCGATTACCTTTCATCATGAAAGGTAATCGAGCTCTTTCGCACTGCATAGTTCGGAAAAAGATTTCCCAACTTTGCTTCTCCCCCCCACCCCCACCCCCGCTGCCTCTGTTGATGGAAAAGGCTCTAAAGTAGATCGTTTTTGTCACCCTTAGCCAGCCAGCCCGCTCTACTCTACGCCGATCCAAGGTCAAACCTTTTTGTTAATTCGGGTTTATTCCCTTCTCCCAGGTCGCTGTATCGCTGGGCGACGAACTTCGAGCCGTGAGCTGGGAAAAACGACTTTTTCCAGCGTATGTGCCCCCCCCCCCCCCCGCCCTCTTCACGATGGAGCGGCCGCCACGGGCGCAGACCCCCCATTGCAAACGGCAAAGCTCGCCTTAAACGCCGGGCGAGGCGCGGGGTCTGGCCGGATTTTAGCGCCGCGACATTCGGAAATCTTCACGGCTTCGCATCGCAGACGGGATGGAGCTGCTGGGGGAAAAGAAAACGGAGGATAGGAAGCCCGGAGGCGTTCGTTTTCTTTCAGGGCTTCTCTTCCCCTTCTTTCCTTTCTTTCCCTTTCTTTCTTTCCTTTCTCTTCTTTCCTTTCCTTTCTTCCTTCTTTCTTCCCTTCTTTCCTCCCCTTCCCTTCCTTCCTTCCCTTCCCTTCCCCTTCTTTCCCCTTCTTTCTTTCCTTTCCTTTCCTTCCCTTTCTCTTCTTTCCTTTGCTTTCTTCCTTTCTTTTCCCTTTCTTCCTCCCCTTCCCTTCCTTCCCTTCTTCCCTTCCCTTCTTTTCTTTCCTTCCCTTTCCCTTTCCCTTCCTTCCCTTCCATTTCTTTCCTTTCCTCTCTTCCCTTTCTTTTTCCTTCTTAACTTTGCTTCCCTTCCTTCTTTCTTTTCCCTTCTCTTCCCTTCCCCACCTAGCAAGCTTTAATGCTGCTTGCTTAGGGCCTGTTGATTCACAGGAGCCTTTGTCATATGAAAAAGTGGACATACTACACTATATATACCCACAAGAGCCTCACGTAAAATAAAAATTGGCACCACTAAAAGCATTTGATTGTGTTGCTCTGGAAATCATGACTGGCCATCCTCAACTTACAGCAGTTCATTTAGTGACTGTTCAAAGTTACCATAGCACTGAAAAAAGCAACTTATGACCGTTTTTCACACTGCAGCATCCCCATGGTCACGTGACTGAAATTCAAATGCTTGGCCACTGATTCATATTTATGACAGTCGCATCAGGTGTTACGTGATCCTCTTTTGCAACCTTCTGACAAGCAAAGTCAACGGGGAAGCCAGATTCACTTAAGAATTGTGTTACTAACTTCACAACCGCACTTAACTGTGACATCTAAGGTTGTAAAATGGGGCAAAAAACCCTGACTTAACAACTGTCTTGTTTAAGCAACAGAAATTTCTGCCTCAATTGCAGTCGTAAGACATTACCTGTAGAGGTAATGCCCTCATTTCATTAAGCTCTCCAGCCAGGCTGAAGCTCACTGTTAACAGGGCAAGGTTGTGTTTTAAAAGTGACCATTTCCTACCCTTAATCATATTAGTCACAAGGAAATAAAGTCACTCTGACCCATATGAAAAGAAGGAAGGTCATTCACAGATTTGATAGCTATCGAGATAAGGAAATGCAGATCCTCAGAGATAAGGAAATGCAGATCCCCAGAGGTCGTAGAGATTTTTTTTTTTAAAAAAAATTCTGCTGGGACATCAACCCTTTTAATGCTTTTAGGCAGTAGCAGACATGGGATTCTCAGATCATCCAGGACAATCATGTTGTCTCAAATTGTCCCAAAGAAAAAAACAACAAGAAAGTATAATTGCCTCCTGAAAAAGCACCTTTGGAAAATAGTTTTTTTTTTTTTTGCATTTTCCACATTCCTTCCCCCACCCCAATTTAACCTTTTCTTTTTAATTACCTTTGTGTATCTCGAGCATTGATTGATCCATCAGGCACAACAATGCTAAGGCCCATGAAGAAGTTGTTTTTCTTAACTGGTTATAAATTAGAAGCTGTTTATTTCCCTACTTTTTAAATAAGGTATGTATTTTCATGCCTTTTCATAAAACAAAGACAAGAAATGGGTAACATTTGAACATCAGTCTGATTTTACTTGTAACTCGTTGGTCTAGCATGCAGGCCAACATTTTAGTCACATAAGTAAATCATCAACAATTAATATAAAACAATATATTTGCAACTGCTTCACATTTCTCTGTAAAAATACAAATATTTAAAAGCATATGAAATATAATTGTTCATAGGTAGCTTTGGTCTAGTGGTGAAGGCCCCAGGCTAGAAACCCAGAGCCAATGAGTTTTAGTTCTGCCTTAGGCATGAAAACCAGCTGGGTAACTTTGGGCCTGTCTCTCTCAGCCTAATCCCACCTCACAGGGTTGTTATTGTTGTGAGGAAAATAGGAGAAGGAA